TGCCGATTGTGGAGATCAACTAATCAGGCGTCATTGGTGGCACAATTATAGCGTCAATTATGAAAATCTACGAGTAATTCCTGCTAACTGCTGACACGGTTGCACTCCTGCAGTTTAACCTCTCAAGACCTAGTCTGGTATAGTTAGCAAAAAGGATATGTCAGCCTACAACCCACAGTTACAATTCTAAGGTCTGAACCGAATGAAATAGACAGTCGTGAGAAACCTTTCTTCGATGTTTTCCATGTGAAGTGTAGGCAGCAGATATAGCAAACTTAACAATAGCAAAGATATGGGCAACCGTGCCATTAACGCTTAAATAGCCTTCGAACGTGATGCAAAGGCTAGCGCATGTCTGTCGAAGCCGTCATGCCGATATCATTTCATGTCACTGTAGTAGATATCTGCGTAAAGAAGATGACGGCGCGATCACCTGGAGAGCACTTATATTTCTCTTAACATTCGGCTTCGTAAAATAGGCCATATTTAAAGACAAGGAGAGTGCAGCAAGAATTGACATGTTTTTAAGTTCAGCTACGAGAAAAAATGCCGGAGGGGGCAGGGGGTTGCATTCGTGGTAGGTTGCCTACGCTTACGCCATCGTCACGGCATGCTTCCTTGGTAGGGAACTGGGCCACACTTCTTGGCCGCGCGAACGAACGGCTAATAGCATGGTATATATCAAAATGTCTCCAGTAACTCTCGTCCGTCCTATTACTGGTTCACACCATTATCCGCGTAGCCGTGAAGTAAAATGCGTGCCCGTCCTCCAGGGTGTGGGTAGCGATCTGAGACAGTGAGTCGCCTTTCCACACTGCCCCATTTGTGTTTTATTATTCGCGAGCTCGACTTAGCTGTCATGGTGAGCGCGCCTTAATTTTCTTTGCAACAAAAACCTACGACACGCATATAGGGTTTCATTCGTGAGATACCTAAGCATTAAAATGCGGTCACTTCAAAGTCATATAATGTAAATAAGCTGGGAAATCCTATCGACCACTGAGTAACCGATCCTGACTGCACAAAACGACCAGCCAAACGAGCAGAAATAAAAAGATACAGGTTGATACACATATCCGAAACTTTCGCCGTGGCCGGTAATCAAAATCACGTTTCTGAAATTGGTTCTCATCAGTTTTTGGTCCAGGGGTCACATCTGCTGCCTCCTCTTAGTCACTTCCTGGACTGGCATTTTCGCTTTTATTGGCGCGATGCACTTTGATCGGCCCAACGATGTGAAACTTTTGTCCTTCGAAGGGCCGGTTTCTGCACAAGTGTCCTAACAATAACGTGCT